GAAATCATTTCTCTTCCCAACTACATCAAAAGAAAAATTTTACTCCTTAAAATAACTGAGATATACGAGATAGAACAGAGACACCCTCGAAAAGCGTTCGCTTTACCAACATTGACTCTATTGGATATGTCTCGAAAAGACTCAATATACATAAGAAAGATCTAGAACGGCTCTAACTATAATTCAACTGTGCACTAAGCCGATATAAATATGATTGTAGTTAAGTCATTATATAGAATATTCAACATAAGTTATTATCATTCAACGACAGAACGGTCAAATTTCCTGATCTGAACAGAAGAATCCTAGTTTTCTAACTTCTTCGGTTATTCTATTTTTTTAAAGATATTAATGCCTTGATTTTAACGAAGTTGTAAATCAGAATAAATTCTTTAAACACCATTATTATAACATCAGAAGGTGAAATACGATTATCCTTCTTCAATAATAGTTACCAAACTTCTCTTCAGATCTGTTAAGTTCTTTAAGAAAAACGAAGTAATGAATCTAAGTTTCACTCTATATATTTCAATACTTCTTTCCATTAGTGTTTCATATAAGCGAAAAAATGTTAGATTGCACAGCTTTTAATGGTTATTATAACAAAAAGAAGATGGCATGCCTATAAATTTATCAAAATACTTTATGAATCAAACGATAGAGTTAATGAGAAATCAAAATTTATTGATGCAAAATCTTCTTCCTTAATCTCTATTACAGTGTATAATCTAGTTTACAAAACTTTAGTTTATTTCTCATATTCTACGTGATTTCAGAGTCTATTTTCTACCTGATTAAAATTTTCTTGCATGATATAACAAAAATAAGATTGTTAATGATGAGTTGAAATTTAAAACGAATTAGTTCACCTACATCCTAACTCTTTCATTCAAATGATCTAATCAAATATGAACAACTACTGACATTTCATCATGATTGATTATTTTATTATTAATATCAATTTAACAAACAGATGTTAAAGTTTTAATTAATATTAAATCAATAATAATAACAGTTTCATTCCAATTCGGTATAAACAAGTGCAAAAGAAATTTCATTTATTTCTTGTTGATGCTCTTGAACGAATGAAAGAAACTTTCTATTTTGTAAAAAAAATATTTTGACTATAATGACAAATCAAACTAAAATAGTATATATTGTAGTGGTGGATTCAGGCGGTGGCTGGGAAGCATCAGCCCGTGCAGTAAGCTTTAGGCCCCGCCGCACCCCTCAGCGAGATTTTTGAAAGATATATTCTATTCGCCAGGAAAGCTCAAAGATTCGTATGGGGAGCTAAACGGCATCTTTGTCCAAACCCTCTGCCTAAAATCCTGACTCCACCACTAATATATTGTTTCTAGGACAGACTTATAGCAGTAATACTTTAATTGTTTTTTCTTTCCTTGTGAAAGTTGTTTTTTTATATTAATTAGCCTTCATTAATATTGATATAGAAACAAAAAAAATACAATTATGTAAACTATTTTTAGACAAAAAAACAAGTAAAAATAGTTTTTTACTATTTGTTAATCAAAACCATATAACAAGTCCACAACCATCTTCGTCAACAACAACATATGGTTCTTTATTTAGTGATAAAGCAACAATGCGATTTCGTAGTTGTTCAATGAATAAAGAATGTTTTGTATATACTAAATTAATATCATAAGCACCTTGATAATAACGACGTCGAAAGCAAAAAGAAAAGTCAGAGACCATTATTGCTGTTTTTGCAATGTGCTCACAACTTGTATCGTCTGGAGAAATATACATAGCATACAAAAGTATCCGTAAGGAACTCAACAATGGTAAATTTGAGAGTGTAGATAATGCAATCCAATCAACAGGTGTATAACGAAAAGATTGATGATGAAGAGTAATTTGAATAGATCGAATATTTCTTGAAAATAAACAAGTATTCAATGAATCGAGACTGTCAGTAAGAATAAGATTAGTAAGATTCGGTAAATTCGCAGAAACTTGTCTATTACATCGTAATAAATGAAGTTCGACTATTTTATTTGGAGACATAATTTGAGAGAAGAAAGTAGTAGATGATGGAAGATTGTCTGACATATTCAATTTAATAAGACGAGAAGAATGTAATTTATTAATTGGAGAAGACGATGTAAACACTTCTATTTCACTAATACATCTATCTGGAACACATAATGGAAAAAATTCATTAAAAATCCATGGTAAGGTATAGAATAGATGTTGGCGACTTTTGAGTTTATTCGACTAGAAAAAAAAACCAAGTATTAAACAGAGTAATACACCATTGAAGTAATTTGTAATATTTATAAAATAAAAACTTACATAAGATTGGCCTGGAGTTCTAAATGGTTGATTATCGGGCCAACATCCAGAAATAAATGTTGCACTGGCTATTGGGCGAGAATAAGATTGATTATTGAATGGTAAATATTTACGAAGTTCTATATGTGATCGATCATCGTTAATCATGAAAGCATAATGAACATCAATATGACGAATATCTGTGAAGAGTGCCGAACGATTCATTCGTATAAGATCATCAGCATCAATAACAATAGAGAAATTGATTCGTCGTAAAATAGGCATAATACTAGAGAAAGTCAAACTATCAAGAAATGTCCATTCTTCAGCACGATGCCAATCGTATGATTTGACAAAAGTAAATGTGTGTAATCTTTCCATTCGAGGTAAAAGATTTATATTATGTGGTCTATGATTTAAATTATCAGATATATCACTCATTGTGATGTGTAATTGTTGTAATGTATGTGCTAACGGTTTAGTTGACATAATAAGCAACAAGTCACGTGTTCCAACAAGTGTAATAGTCAAATTGATTAATGGCGTCTGTATTGTTTGAAAAGGCCAACGATGTAAGAAAAAAGATGGTTCCATTCCCAGATCAAGTGACCGAAGAGCAGGCAGATGATTAAAAATTTCAGTGACAAATTCCATTACATTCCATGATGGATAACTCAATTCTTTGGTTATACCACTCTTAATAAAACAAAAAATAGATATTAGAAGAATATATATATATGATGTAAATTGAGAATTGAAAGTTTTTCTTTGCTTATCTAAACTTTCGGAGAATAGAGGGATTCTTCACTAAGAAAATAGACATCTATGCCAGAAAATCGAGACTTTTTGCGCAAAAGCAAAAGAAAAGAATTTTTTTTGTTTATTTAATAGCAATATGTCCAAAAATGAAGTGAAAAATAAAAATATCTGAAATGTTAACAGACGTGTGAAAGTTCCCGATCGAAGAAAAGAACTAGTCATCAGTCACAGTTCTTTTCAAAATTGTAACTGGTCACCAGCTCTTTTTATATGAACTGGTGCTACTATACATCTCACTATCCCTTACTTATTAGGTTTGTAATTGCTTCATTCTGCGCCGTGTATTTGAACTAGACAAATGTGCTGGAATGAAGCTGTCGAAAACTTATTGCTAGGATAAAAGGGCACAGTTCTTCAAAAAAGAACCGATCACTGAACCCAGTTCTATAAAAACAAAAGCTGGATCATCGAACTGGGATCTGTCACAAGTGTAAATATGAACAAAAGTAATTATAATTATTGTATCAAACAACAAAGAACTATTATATATCATATATTGTAATTACAATTATTAATATTTTAGATAATACCAAGTTAGAGTACAATTGTAGAATTGAATTTAGTCAATGTATTTCAACTTATAGTCAAGTTGAATGAATGATCTCTAATCAAGTGTTCTTTTCAGATATATAGTTGCATAGAACACGGTAGTATGCTGAGCACTTTAAAAAATTAAAAAAATGAAATTTCGGATGATGAAATGAGCATCAGTTTTGATCTATTTCAATTGCTTTGATTAAAATGGTAATTTTCATCAATGAAAATGACTTACATCAAAATGATGAATTTTTTTAAAATTTTTTCAGCCTCTAAGTGGAATTATAGAATGTTGATTTCAACGGTTTTCTCACTGCATCATTTTATATCTATACATTTTATAGATTCTATTGATTTTTCTCCATTTCCTATTTAATTACCGTTAAAACTATTTCGAATTGTACTTACTGTTTGAAAATAGTCACTTGATTTAACTACAAGATTTGTTAATGTATTAGCATGTCGTTGTGCAAAATTAAAAATATCAACAAAATCTCGTACACCTTTCACTGTTAATGTTCTCAAATTTGGTAAATAAGGCCAAATTCTCAACTGAAGAGATGATGCATAACAGTCAATAACAAGTGATTGTATTTCATTTAATTGAAGTAAAGATAAAAATGTTTGAAATTGAAAATATCGAGTAGATGATAAATTAACATGATGATAAAAATTTTGTTCAATTAATAATGTTGTTAGACGAGTACTGAGATTACTAAATGACCATAAAACATCTACGCAAGATAGATAAGAAAATATTTCAATTATTGACAGATCAGACAAATCATCGAAGATAGTGCACATTTTGTTGTCAACTGAATGACGACGACAAAGAAGACGTCACTTTTTATACGCGTTCATCTGATGTTACATTGTGGACGTTCATTGTTTTATTTTTCTCTTCATTATTTTCAACATACGACCCCAACAATTGTTCAATGAGTTCATTTATTGTATGAGAAAAAAAACATAAACGTCTGACTTTTGTCTATATAGAGGTCATATAACCTCAACATTTGAAGAATAATTAGCAAAATACATATAGGCATCTTCACAAATTTGAACTTTGTGATAAAAAAATCAGTATCGATTGATGGATTTCTAAATATGGCTGCATGCAAACAGTAACATATTTCTCAACTAATGTTTATCGAAGTTTAATTATACCAATTTATATGAATTTGTAATGATAAACATTTCAAAAAATAAAGAGCAATCTTATGATAATGGTCGACTGTTTGCCACTCATATGATTTCGTTTATCATTTGTTGCTTCATTTTATCTGTTTTCCATCCTCGCACGGAAAAAAAAATAGTAAACAATTCCTACTTTACGAACTTGATTGTTTTAAAAGTCCAAAATATTGAGAATATGTAATATTTTATTGTTATAATGCTTTTGATCTTTATCTATTATTAAATTGTTTTGCTGCTTTTCAACTCAGTTTTAATATTTTTTACATGGACAATTATACTCGTCAAACCTTTCAATTATTATTTAACTAAGTATTTTGCTTCGACTGTAGTACTTAATAGTTACGAATGAATACTTTTTGTCACAGGTTAAATAAAAGGAGGATGAAATCGAATGAACATATAGACAAAAGAACTAGATTTAGCATCTTATAATAAAAAAAAAGTTGAAAATACTTTTGGGTTGTATAATATTGAGAAGATATCGGCAAAGAGAAAAAAAATAATCAACGACTAAACAAATTTCGAATTGATCAGAAAAAAAACTAGCGAATTAAAAGGTTGAATTACAGTGAAGCACACATATGCGACAGTAAGTGTTGTCCAGCTAATTTATCATGTCGTACTAGTCATGGTTTTCGTTCAATAATCATGTTAAACTTCCTCCTGTGTCGAATAGGTCTTTAAAAGACTCAAAAATGATTTCTGTTACAGATAGATTGAAGACTTAAGATATAAGAAACATCCAGTACCACTCTAAGTATAATTCAACTGTGCACTAAGCCGATGTAAATATAATTGTAGTTGAGTCATTATATAGGATATTCAATATAACTTATTATCATTCGACGACAGAGAGATCAAATCTTTTGATTCAAGAAGCGGGGACATGACCAGGATGCTTCGATAAGGAGGGGGATCTATTATTATTGTTGATACTCTAGCAGTTAATCGCTGTTGATTTTTTCTGAGAATTTTTCATCTTTATTATTGTTAGGGCTCTTGTTTGATATGAGATATGTATTAGTTTAGTATCTCTCTTATTTTTACTCATGGTTTCTGATAAATGTTTGCCAAAAAAAATTACCTCGATACTATTTATGCAGATCACAAAATCGAAGGAATGCATCAGCATAAAGGGTATCCTATAACAACTATGGATAAATTGTCAACGACATTTTTCGCACTTTTTGATGATCTAGAAGGCTCAAATTTTCATCCCAATATACATTCAATCGCGATCTTTAGTTTTCCCAAGTTTCAGATCTCTGCATAAAACTAAAGCTCAAATGCATGGACAAGATTAGGATACACGAATTTTCGTATTTGTTAGTGTGACATCTTTATTTCTTCACTAACCATATTTATTAGCATCTGATAGAAAGAAATTTTGGAAGACAAATTTATTCAACAACGTAAATCATAGTAAAACTATAAATACTAACATGCTCTCATTGCTTCCTTATGACTGATTGTAATTGATGAGGTATTTCGTCCATCGTTTATGTGCATCTTTCTTTCGAAAATTTCCTCCATTCTTATGAATTTTCTGTTTTTAATGCTAATCATGTATCAAACACTCTTCCGTGAAAATTTTCATTCACTCAACTCCACATCTTTGTAGTTGTTCATACCTGAGCAAATTTGGCATTACTATCTACTGATTGTTTTTGTTCTTTAGTAGTTGTGCTAGGAGCCATGCGACCGATACTTCATGTTATTTTCAGAAGATTTCAACTTAATGTAAATCACTCATGATCTTTTCGGTTTTTCTAATTGATGAACATTTAAGATAAAATCTATAGTTAAATCTAAAAGAATTTATGCATGAGTGCATTCTTATATTTTTAAGAGAGTGCCCGTGAAAAAAAACCGACCAACTTGATTAAATAGAGACCTACATACGAAATTCTTTTTTTGAAATAGGTTATGTAATTTGAAAGTTCGTGAAAAGTTATTCTTAAATCCCAATTTTTAACTCTTTCTGAAAATCCTATCAAAGAGTCTTTGAACCCACCCTCAAATATCTTTGTAAAATTTTGATGATTTCTGGAGAATTCGATTTTATGCTTCACAGGAACATGTTTTACTGTTGAAGACCCCTCTTATTTAGTATTATCTAACGCATCTTGACTAGATCTATTCAATGAATTATCATAGAATGCGATTCTCGAATATAAATCAAGTGGAATGTGTGATTTTTTACTGAAAAAATATGCAAAAATTTTCGTTTTTCATGAAATTTTTTCATGCTTTTGCTCTAAAGTATAGTACAGTAGTTCTCTCGCAAAAAAAAATTATCATCAAAAGATAGCTCGTGAAAAACTGCATCTTTCTATGTATGAATGAACAGCATATCGCTTGGTAAGCTGATTCAATTTTTTAGTACAAACAGTGCTCCCTATAGATTTTTTCTATTTTTGTTATTTTTCATTTTCTATATTTATGTTGTGGATAAAGGTGTAAATATTAGTTTGAATTTGTTTTTTAATATCAAAACATGTTTCTATCACTCTATCAAAGATTAATGTATCATAGTTTACAACGAAATATAAAATTCTAGTATGTCATGATCCTCCAATATACACTAATCGCTGATTGAGAATTTCTTCTTAAGCTTTCGAAAAGTAATGTTTTTATTTCTAAGTCAATTTTATCTTATTTTCTTATCTCCTTTGATTATTGACTATAGAAGGTAATCAGTAGCATTTCTCTCACTCTTAGTTGTATATATTTAGACGTCTGAATCACCTGTTTTTGAATGTAACTCATATGAAACATATTATTATTCTACCAAGAATTCTGATAAATGTTCTATTCAATCTTTTCATCGCCAATATATATTCATTTTCGAACTTTTCGTTTTTTGATGTATCTACTGAAATACTCATCACTCATAGTTATTCGAAATGCACATATCATAGATTCATGATATGATAGATAGCAGTTATTTGTTGTATTGAGTTTTTTTGTATGTGCTGGCAATTAATAGAACGGAGTTTAAATGCAGATAAAGCAAAGTTCTGTTGATTTCGGAAAACAACAGTTTTAACAACCAATGAAGATTACCTGCATAATTAGATTTTGTAGTGTTTTCAACCTTTGGGCAAAATTACTACATAAAAATCATCGTTTGACTTATTTATTTGTTACTAGGAATAGTTTAGTGTTAGTGAACTAGCAGAATAAGTTGATATTGGAGTCAAGTTTTGGATAAGTTACGTGCATCGACGAAACCTACATAGAAAACAGTGTGAAGAAAGAATAAGTATACATCTTCTCTGGTGGTGCGTTTGGATTTCAACGAATCATAGAGTCTTCACCAGTTTATATGAATATGAAGTTATTCTTACGTTAGGATTCGATTGTTATTACGAAAGGGTTTTGCTAGTTAAGATTGGGTTCAGTTATGTGCTATTTGATTTTGCGTTGGTAATTTGTCACTAAATAATTTTGCAACAGACAAGAATTTCAGAAAACCTTGATTCAAAAGGAAGATCGGAATATATACGGTTAGAGTTTGCACTCGCGTCCTAAATTGTAACAGTCATTATCATGGAAACATCGTATCACATGATAAAGAAGATGTATGGATCATCACAAAAGAAGTCGAAAACGCTTCATCGCAAATTTGACAGACCTCTTAACAACAATATATCGTATGCGTGACAGGAATCTCTAGTAAAATTTCTCATACATCGCATACTGTGAAAGATACCTTAGTAATAGCTCTACTCTTTGCGTGACAAACTGTGATAGACTTAGTTGAGATGCGATCCAAGAAAGTATTTGACAGTATCTCACTAGAATATATGAATTACTTCCTCGTTGTACTTCTGGAGGATTTCCTGAAAGAATGGCAAAGAAATGTGTTATAAAAGATATCGAATAAAACAATCGCACTAGGATTAGCAAGGCCCACCACATCATATTTCACATCTAAATTCTCTACGAATTGTGCTAGCAGCTTCAGACACATAGTTGACTAACCGTAAGATGAGAGTCAATTCTGTTTCACTGATCTTACCGATTTCTATGAAGTTTTGTCAGTACGTAATCCAAAGTGAGATGCAAGGTAATGAAAGTTTCAGCGTCCAAAACCGCTCTCTTGTGGAAATATTGAATGTATGGCGAAGATACTCTCGGAAAAAACGAGGATAGAAATTGCAACATTCATGCACTGTATATTGCATTATTTTTTAATGACATTATTTTAATTGACTTGATTTTGCCAGTATGTATTGATGTCGATAATCTATATACTGGCACTCCCAGAATCAATTTTTGACATACTAAGCAGTGTTGTGGCATTTTGTAGGCCCTGGATATATCTGATAACTTGCGATTAGGATTTCAATCTCTTATAAGACACTTATAGTCTCTTGCTTAGGAACTAGGTGCTATTGATGCCAGACTAGTAGTTTCGATTTTCAAAATGTTGAGGTTTTTGTCATTCGAATCAAACTTTATCTGGTATATAAATGAGTCTGTTTGTGTAAATCCACGATCCATTTCCAGATATATTTCGGAGTGGGTAATCGTCAATGCGGCTAATACTTTTATATGTACATAGAAAAAAAGTATTTGACGAATTTCTATAAATGTTGTTT